TCTGAGCTCAGCTGAGGAAAGCAAACATATATCCTACTCCAACACTGTGTTCACTTCTGAGCTCAGCTGAGGAGAGCAAACATATATTCCTACTCCAACACTGTGTTCACTCCTGAGCTCAGCTGAGGAGAGCAAACATATATTCCTACTCCAACACTGTGTTCACTCCTGAGCTCAGCTGAGGAGAGCAAACATATATTCCTACTCCAACACTGTGTTCACTCCTGAGCTCAGCTGAGGAAAGCAAACATATATTTCTACTCCAACACTGTGTTCACTCCTGAGCTCAGTAGCTGAGGAAAGCAAACATATATTCCTACTCCAACACTGTGTTCACTCCTGAGCTCAGCTGAGGAAAGCGAACATATATTCCTACTCCAACACTGTGTTCACTCCTGAGCTCAGCTGAGGAAAGCAAACATATATTCCTTCAACACTGTGAGTAGTTTTGTGATTTTGAAGTTTCAGGAATCTTCTCGGGAAATTTTTCCCTCAGTGGTGTGACGGCTCTGTTGTGACTGCTACTATTCACCTTTCAGTAGGTTGGGCGAATCTACAACAACTATCATTTCTCATGAGCTCAGATACTGAGCCCGACTATGGCCGGCGTGCAATTACTTGTGTTATGGCGATCAGCAAACGTTAAACTATTTTTCGCTGTTTTTATCACGTGTAATAAGTGAGAGATTAATTCACATGATGGGACTTTTTTACTCAGGTTTCCCCACAACGATTGTGTTCACCTTGCTCTTGCATAAGTGGTCGGGCGAAGCCGATGCTCTCAAAATGGCTTTGGGATTGCTTTTGTTCATTGTTGGAATATGGCAACTTGTAAACGAGTTCTGGAGTAAGTCTGACACGTTTCTAGCAGTGGTCGAGGAATATGAATGTCCGCTTTTCTCAGCTGAGCTCAGAAGAGTTTCCTCGCTGATTATAGAAGTTTACATACGAATTCGAGTAAAAGTTCACAGAAACCAGCAAGAATTTCACGAAATTTCCTCAGAAATCTGATATTGTCATCGACACATGTAGTTGACCATAAGCAAATGTGATCACACTGATGCTTGGTATTACAAAAGTTTATTTCAATACTGATCTTATCTTAAGTGATGATGTGTGAGAGGGAATTCGCTCTTATTGGTTTCCAGTGAAAACTAGGTCTACAAGACGAATAGACAGAGTTCGAACGATCGCGGGTTCGATTGCCGGCAGGGGCGTTTTTCTACCATTTTTCATTCGCTTACGTTCCGCTCAATTCCAGGACCCGTTCTAATGAATATGCATTCAAAAAAAGAACGCGTTCTTCAGAGCTCAAAACTGATTGTCAAAGCGGTTTTTTTTCAAAACTATTTTTCAGAATTGATCTGATGAGTTTTGAGAAATTCATGGCGCGCGAAATGTCTTCTAGTTCCCCTCAATTCTCATATTTACAAAAGTTACGCTACGCAACGAAAGTTGGTGGGAGAAGGTAGGATAAATCTTATTGCAGAGCATTTGAGGGTGACGAATTTGTCGCAAAGAAATGCCGAGGACCGAGTTCTCTGGGGGAGACAGATTAAAGCTTTGATACCGAAATATTAGAAAAAGCATAGCTTCCTTGTGGTGAGTACGTCGACCTTATAAACAAGCCAACTCGCTTTACTTGATAACATTTCCTGGAAATGCTGGCCGATCGTGCAAAAGATTTGGAACGCCACAGGTGGTTAGTAGTACACAACCACCTGAGGCGGTACTACTAATGACCATGTCAGTACTTGTGGCTCGAGCCAACATGATGGTTAGTTGGTAGATAAGAGGAGACGCATAGTGCAGAGCACACTATGCATAATGATACGCATGCATAATCACAGTACTCCGTACGACGATTATGCATGCGGGAGAGACAATAACTCTACCACAGCTGGTAGAGTCTACCAGCTGTGGGTTTCGTCGCCTTGCCGAGAACGGTCAAGAGAGAGACGCTACGTAACGAACCTAAAGTGAGATATTGCATTCGGACTTGACGCTATAGGTCCTCAATCTACTAGCTATGTGGCTAGTCTAGCACAAGGCGTCTTTGCTAGCACCTGTTGATGAGGGCTCAGCTGAGATACACCTGTTATGCTCTAGCATCTTGTATGTGCCATAAGAACGGGATGAGATTATTTGAATCGCGAGAAAAATGCAAGTCTTTTCGCGCTGAACAGCGGAGCGAAACAGTTGATTGAGGCCAGAACTGGTTCAAATGCATGCAGTTTGAGAAGCAGTTCTGGAAACCGATTTCTGAAACCAGTTTCAGAACTGGATTGGGCTCCAACTTTTGAGCGGCCCGTCAGTGTCACAGCTCACAACAGCTTCGGCCCATACACGACATAAGGCGGAGTTGAGGGCGATTTCATGTTAATCGCGAGATACATACCCACGAGAGCTCAACTGATGTAGCTGTAGCAGAGAAATAAATGAAAATAGCGAAATGGCAATACATCCCTTCACATTTGTATATTAGATTGGCACGCACTGTATATATATCCGATCGTCGCACGTGGCCACTTCAGAATCCTCTGTAACATCGAGTGAATCGTCGGGGTCGGACTTGACGAAGAGAGCATTAATAGGAGCGGCCGTAGCTGGGGGTGCAAGTGGCGCCATGATAGGGATTTTTAGTAAGGTCGAGTGCAGAATTATGGACACGTGTGTTGGTGACACTGTGGTGAAAACATGTGTTGGTGACACCGTGGTGAAAACATGTGTTGGTGACACCGTGGTGAAAACATGTGTTGGTGACACTGTGGTGAAAACATGTGTTGGTGACACTGTGGTGAAAACATGTGTTGGTGACACTGTGGTGAAAACATGTGTTGGTGACACTGTGGTGAAAACATGTGTTGGTGACACTGTGGTGAAAACATGTGTTGGTGACACTGTGGTGAAAACATGTGTTGGTGACACTGTGGTGAAAACATGTGTTGGTGACACTGTGGTGAAAACATGTGTTGGTGACACTGTGGTGAAAACATGTGTTGGTGACAGTGTGGTGAAAACATGTGTTGGTGACAGTGTGGTGAAAACATGTGTTGGTGACAATTTGAAAACTCTGAGAACATTTCGGTTAGTTTCTGTACACTTTTGGTATATTCTCCCAATTCATATATAAACTCCTAGGATTAGTAAAGAAAGTATTGAGCTCAGCTGAGGAAAACTATTAGGATAGAAGTGCACAAGAAAAAGTACGAGAGTTTTCCCAAGGGATATCGTCACCAATACGCGTTTGTTTCTCTCAGTTGAGCTCCAGTTGAATTCCCTGAGGGAATTTCCCTCACTAATTATAGAAGTTTGAGTAGAAGTGTTCAGAAACCACCAAGGGGTTCCTCGTTGTCACCAACACACGTGTACATTTCCCCTCCCGCACCGGCGCTGAGCTCAGGTATCGGCGGACCACCAATGATGGTTTGGGTTTTACTCACTGAACCAGATGTGCTCATGTGGCGTGGCACCAGCGCTTTGATATTCACAGGTCAGCTCGGAAATTAGTAAAGTTTTACCCGTTTTACGTGTTGTGGCATATTACTCGGTGAAAACCCCGATATTCTCGCAATGCAATGGTCGTGAAATATAATTTGCACTAGTGCTTTCCACGGGCGAAACTCCAGTGCGTGTCAATTTGATATGCGAATGTGTGTTATATTCCAAAATCGTGTGTCGCAATATAAGCATTGCTATGAACATGTGATGTGATAAAAGTAACCTTTCGAGACCATGATAGCGACAAGTTGTTCACTATCATTAATCCCGGAATAGAAAATGCACATTCTTCACAAATTGAAAGTGAACGCCTTGGAATCGGATGGTCCCGAGTTCGATCCGATGGTGTTCAAATTTTCATATAAAATTGTCACTGAGCACTGCTCACCACAAACACTCCTGCCAGCCCAAAAGAGCTGTTCCAAACCGGCCTCAAAAGCTAAATTAGTATCTTCTAATTCGATCAAGGGCAACACCAACATCATCGAAAGTACCTGATGATGTACATAATATATCAAGTCTCTATCTCGTATCACATATAATGGGTGTACATACATATACTATAACGATTATATGCTTATCTGTATACTATATAATCGCCCGGTTATATGTGTACTATATAATCGTCCGGTTATATGTATACTACATAATCGTCCGGTTATATGTATACTATATAATCGTCCGGTTATATGTATACTATATAATCGTCCGGTTCCCAAGCATCAGATCCCGGGTTCGATCCGAGGGTCTTCCACTTTTCAGTCAATAACGTTGGTCGCCTCCCTACGATGCTCGCTAGCGGGTTGCTGAACGATACTGACATGCCTGTGGTTGTCACTATCATAGTCGGATCGATATGTGGCGTTTTAGCTGGAAACGTTCTAACAGATAAAATTAGTAAGAATTCATTTCGCTTCTGTGTTTTCATCTGGTGAGTAGTCAGTGTTGGAGGAGTATATGTTCGCTTTCCTCAGCCGAGCTTGGGAGTTTCCTTGTCAGTTATAGAAATTCGGGTAGAAATATACAGAGCAAGAATTGTCCAAAATTTTCTCAGAATTTTCATATTGTGACCAACACGCGTCGGAGTATATGCTCGCTTACATATGAATTTGGGTAGGAGTGTGCAGACAACAATAACGACACGAATCTTTCTTCAGAATTTCCATATCGTTACCAACACAGGTAGTTGATCATGTGCATATTTTCCCACACTGTTCTCTCTAGTAGAAAAATCACCAACAAGAATTCTCCAAGATTTCTTCAGAATTTTCAAATTGTGAGCAACATATGCGCTTGACCATATGCACATTCCCCTACACTGGCTCGGCTTCACCCGTGATATGAAAAACACTAGTGAGAAAAACACAATTCACTTCGCGGAGAACAGTTGTGTTATCGGTCGCGGAAGCGTACACGCCCTATAATTTACATGGAGTATCACATCACTTCACGTTAAACTCCAGTGGAGTTTCACCCGTTTTACGTGAAGTGGCGTAAAACTCCGTGAAAAACGCGATATTCGCGCCTTGCAGGAGTCGTGAAATATGTTTTTCACTAGTGTTTTTCATATCACTAGGGTGGTGAAACTCCACTGTTTTCAGGTGTAGAATTATTCCGGCGCGCCGTTATTTTTATACTGCTGTCTACGAGTATCTTCATGTTAGAAACAAAACTGCGGATTTTCACAACTTGTATTTGTGTGGTGACTTTAACAGTGTTGGGTATACGTCGATATAGACTACATGCAATGGAGAGGAATTCACAGAAGATTGGTATCGATTATGAATTTAAGAAAATAGGATTGCCGATGAGCAGACAGTCGTTGGACCTATTTGGTGAGTTAGGGAAACATTGCTATGGAAATTATGCACATCGTCCATTGGTGATGATATTATGAAAATTCTGAGGGAATATTGGAAAATTATTATTGTTTTCTGTACACTTCTACCCGAATTCGTATTCAAGCGAACACATATTCCGACGCGTGTTGGTGATAATATGCAAACTCTGGGGAAATTTGTGTTAGTTTTCTTCAGCTGAGCTCAGGAGTTTTCTCAACTATAGAAACTAACAAGCAAATTCGGGTAGACGTGTACAGAAACCAATTAGAAGTTCCTGAAAACTCCCCTAAATTTTCACATTGTCATCAACACATGTAGTTGACCATGTTTATGTTTTTCCCCACACTGGCTGGGAACAGGACTGCATAAGCAAAATTTGCCAACCACAGTTTTTATGTATTTCAGTGGTGTCAAAGTATGCATATTATTCTTCAATGAAGTTTCACCCGTTTTACGTGAAGTTGCGTAATACTCCATGTGAAAAACGCGATATGAAGTGACTTGAAAACACTGAGCGAATTACATCGGACAAATCAGCCCATTTCACGTGAAACACATCACGTGTTTTACGCGTTATCCACTGACCACATGCGTTTTTTCCGCGAAGTGAAATGTGAAATGTGTTTTCACATCACGGGTGAAACTCCAATGCGTGTATGTGTGTCATCGGTTTCAGACTCTTCTAGCGACGGTTCTTCGAGCGGCTCTGAAAGCGGTACTGTTTCGACGTCTTAGCTTCGACGGCCCTCCGCCTCCTTGAGAGTAATTGCAGTTTCACCCGTTTATACACGCGAAGTGAAATGTGAACTGTGTTTTTCACTAGTGTTTTCCATATCACGGCTGAAACTCGGCGAGTATTGCACCGCCCACGTGTCATCGGAGTGCTGCCTCTCATGTACAATGCAGCTCATTTCTGTTGACAGTATGCTACATTGTGGGATTTGATTATTGGAGTTTCACCCGTTTCACGTGAAGTGGCGTGAAACTCGGTGAAAAACGCGACATTCGCGATGTACCGTAATCGTGAAAAATGTTTTTCACTAGTGTTTTCCATATCACGGGTGAAGCGCCACTGTATTGCTGGTCTTTTAACAATTATTGTTATATTTTTTTGATGTGCTGTTGAGTTTTCGAGATGATAAGCGTGAATCGACTCATCGAAACAAAGTATGTGTACACTGAATTGTCCGTTTCGAGATGCAACACCAGTGTTGGAAAATATCAACATTTTCCACTACGTGTTGGTGACAACAATGAAAATTTCTGTAAATTATCTTCGTTTTCTGTATATTTTTGCCCGAGTTCTTATATAGACTCTAATAGTGAGTGTAGAAACTCCTACATTCAGCTGAGGGAAGCGAACATATTTCCCTTCGACACTAACAAGGGGCATGCGATTGCGTCGAGCGATTCTTTCAATTCTGACTGGTTACCTTTTCCGTGATCTCAATACGCTGAGGTATGCCGTCTGTACTATATGTTAATTTTGATACGAGAGTCGTAGGCGAGATCACTCCCTCGAGAGACTCGTAGTACGAGTTTCTCCAGCGAGTGACCCAGCCCGGGAGAGGCGAGAGAGGAGAAAATGAAACCTATCGCGGGTGGTCCACGACGCAACCGTGAAGGGCAAGGCACACACACGCAGGGAATAACTCGCCAAGTGGCTTCTACAAGTTCCTGCTAGTGGACAGGCAATGACTTTCTAAACTACAGTGAAAGTCCAAGCTAGTAATCAATAATTAGTTATAAAATATTAGTCAATAATCATAATTGAAAGCTCGCTTGTCAAAGTTTGACAGTCAGCCGCACGCAGAAAAAGCTGTACATTCCGCCAACGTTTGCCACGAATCTCCCAGAAACCAGACGAGTTTGAAAAATGAGTTTTGTAAACCAATTTTCAGATGTGGCGACGCGCTCGACTCCGAATTCAGTTCTCGAACCAATTCCAGCATGAGTTTCTCGAGCATTTTCCCACAAGACCGGTTATGGAACGAGTTGCCCGTTTCAAAACTAGTCTATCGAGCGACTTGAAACTCTAGAGTCGAGAGCCAATGCAACTGCAAAAAGCTCACCCACTCGTCCGAGATCCGACCGAAAGTACTGTCGATCGGTGATGGGCAACATCGTTGCCGCAACAACCATAATGGCCGGGATTACGCCGTCATGGACTGAACTTATTGCAGTTAAGGTGTGGGAAAAATACTAAATCCAGCAATGGGGTGATCGGCTCTATCTGATAATGAGGTATAATCAAATCTATTCAATAATAAGGGTGGCCATACTACGGCCGGGATAGCTGGTCCGAGCGAGAACACATGTCGTTAGTGTCGCCGGCAGCGTACTGGTGAAAGAAGTACAGGATAAACTAGCCCGGCCAGTTGTCGGGCAAAAGAACACAACCCAGAAGAATAGTTTATGGCCTATTCATAGCTCGTTATGAAGCACTTCAGACTGCCTGTGTTAGGTAATCTAGCTCAGATAGCCAGCTGTGCGATTCCCACCCGACGTTTATCGGGTTGAAACTCGATATAGTTCCCCACAAGCATAAGGTCAGGGAATATCCAACGGTTTTCATCTTCTGGGTCGTCATCCTCTTCTTTGAGGATGAGATGACAGTAGCCTCCATCATTCCTGGCATAGTTGAAATGCGTCATCTTAAGAAGGCATCTCCCTTGGGACCCAGTCCAAATACCAAATTTGGCATGATGTCAATGAACGAACAACTGAATGTCCAAATTCCCCTCGTGTCATCGAAGGT